AAAAATCCTTCGGTATAGAGGAATTTCAGGAGTAGCCTGAAACTCCATCTTCTCACTGCTAAGCCCCGCCTTCTTTCCGGAACTTTTTGTTGTTGTCCATAAGTATGCATAAAATGATAAATACTAAATATCTTGTATATAATTCTCAAAAACAATTTAAGTGCCCTTCAGTATATGAGAGAGTATACCTTATACCACTCCCCAATTTCTACACTGTCTTAGTAAAAAAACAAACAACAGAACTAATGAATTGAGTCCTCTGCTTTTTTATTCATAGTCTAAAGCACTGTAATTCTATAGTCACTTTTGTGAGAGAGAGTCCCTCTGAATTCAGTGAATATCTTTCCAGATAGGATACATATCATGTATTATTGCAGTAGTAAAAGCACTGCTGAAATATTTTTGCCTAGACCTTGTTTTCTAAATCGCTTATTTATTTATTTTTCATTATTTAATAATTTAAAGAAAAGGGAAATTGATTCTAAGCTATGCTGGAACTTAATACTTTTGGATTGGATGAAGATAGCTCATTGTGTTAAACCTCAGTTATTTTTAGAACAGCTGTAAACATCAAAAGATACACTTCATAAGGCTGTTAGTGCAAATGAAGCACTACATTTTGAAGCATTCAATCAGCTTTGCCCTTTGCAAGTTCATTCAGGTACTTAAAACTCTTTATGCAAACACATTTTGCAAAGCACCTCTTTTAAATGCTTCACACAGCCTGAGTACTTAAAATAGGTTAATGAAAATTAATTGGACAGGTAAATTGTAATAATGTAAATACAAGCAGTTGCTGACTTAGAACATAAAACACAATTGTAATATTTTGTAACAACCCCCCCCCCATGGTCACATGATTGTGTTTTTGGTTGCAGGGCCAACCAAACTGGCTCACATTTACACATTTTTGCCAAGTGCCCTGCAATCATTGTAATCTTCTCTACCTGCTTACCCAGAGAGTCAGTGGGAAAGCCAACAGGAAGGATTGCAAGCAGAGAGAATCAAGGGAAACTAAAATAGCTCAGTGGCCTGCAAGAATAGAGGTGAAATACAGAAGAAGGATTTTCCCTCTCTGCAAAGACGGAAGCAAAAATTCCCTCAACAACCTGCAGGAATGAAACTGAAATCCTGCTGAAGGATTTTTCCTCCATGCATGAAAGGAAGGAGAAATCCTTCAGTGGGCTGCTGGAACATCTGGCAGCAAAAAGGCTTCCAGCCAGGAGGATTTCACCTCCACACAGAGCTGAAATCCTCCTGGCGGGCAGTTTTTTCACTATACCCATTTAACAACTCAGGAGATTGCTTAATGACTGCAACCGTGAGTGACAGGATTGTGATCATTGAGTGAAACAATCACATGTCTGTCTGTCTCTGAACAACCAAGATTCCAATTCCAATTTTGCTATAAGTCGATGACTACCTGTGCTGCTAAAAAGGTGTGTCCCTTAATAAGAATAATATATGCTTGGGATCTTTCTCCTTGCTTATCTTTTTAAAAGATGTATGAGGTTAATAAAACATAAAACACAACATGTGCATGTGCATTCTCTGTATCAGGGAAATCAACCTGGTATTTATAGACATAGTTGAAAACTCTATATAGTAATAGCAATGGCACTTAGACTTATATACTGCTTTACAGTGCTTTACAGCCCTCTATAAGCATATTTACAGAGTCAGCATATTGCCTCCAACAATCTGGATCCTCATTTTACCGCCCTTGGAAGGATGGAAGGCTGAGTCTACCTTGAGCCTGGTGAGATTTGAACTGCCAAATTGCGGTCAGCTGGCAGTCAACAGAAGTAGCCTGTAATACTGCATTCTAACCACTGTGCCACTGTGGCCATCAAATTGCCTATTCCTGGTTTACTATGATTTGCAACATTTGTTAGTTTCATCAAAGAGACTTCTATAACTCAAATTTAATATCCCAAGGATCATTTAAGTATTATCTTAAAAAAAACTTTTTTAGCGGAGGAGGTAGCAATCACCACGGTTCTCCAGATTTAGTAGCCTCAACCACTGTGTCTTATCTTTCAGCCATTTAGACTAGGAA